AAAACACCTATTCTGTTGGGTCCCTTAGAAAGAGCTAGCCTCCGAAACGTCGTGGTCTTTTGTCTTTTACATACCAGACGATGGGTGAAGTCCAAGATAAGCCAAAAGAAGTATTAACTTATTACTTACTATTTTCATTTTTACTTCAAACACATACAGCTGTCCATCAAAACTGTTAAAAATGCTGCTTTTATGGTATCAATTTCAGACACCAAACATTTTTATTCTATTACATACTTATAAATTTAAATTCATGGTTCCCTAATTTTAAATACAGCATTACTTCTGCCATGAGATGCCCTCAAATTAAGACACATCCACTTTTGAATGTGGTTTTTTGGGGAAAAAGAAGTCAGAAAGGTGCATATTACTCGAATTTAGGATGTGCCTCAGTTTTTCAACATGAAAATATGTGTAAAATGTGCATCTTATATTCAAAGTAATATGGAATATTACAAAAATACTTAGCAGATGAACTATTTAACAATTCTGGATATACCCTAATGCATGATTTGTTATAATTTTAAGTACAGTAACAAGTCTGACATCACCACTGTCATAAAATATATCTGCAACAAGGAAAGAACCCTTGTCGAACATTTTCTTTTTGGCACCTTCAACAAGAATGTTTTGGTAGGGCACCTAAATTGTGCTGTGAGGTTCTTACAAGCCGCAATGTCCGCGAACATAACGAGTATGCTTAAATATACCTTACATACCTCAATTCTCTCTTTATGTACCTCGGCATGTGTGTTAAAATTGACAATCTGAAAGTCACTACCGTTCCGTTGTCATATTTCCTAACCTACGTTTCAATGTTTATACACGAATATGAATTCTGTGTAATAACACCTTTATGTGTCTGTAATCGACATCATTTTCTTTTCTTCGAGAAACTTACCTTACAAAAACAGTGATCACTCGCTTTCAGGTGGGATTCAAAATACAAATTCCCTAAAGAAAATAATGACAGAAAAGTAATAACTCCGAACACTTGTGACAGTGTCATAGTTCGTAATAAGTCCATAGTACACTAACAGAATTGCTTAGTAACAACTGTAACTATAACAGTGGCAACAATTGTATTACTTTCCCGTACACTGAACCAGACGTTACATCACGCAATACTAACTTCTCCAAGCGGCACTGATTTGTTGATAAACCCTCTAGTTATTTGAGGAATGACAGTAGGGCGTCAGCGAATGTCATTTCCGCCTACACACAACTCCATGGTACGGACATCTCATAAAATAATCCCTCACTTCTCTAATAAATTTTCGTCATTCATTTGGGTGCGTGTTCCGGTAACCACTTAGTATGAATGTTAAATCTAAACTCATTGTTTTCTCATTATCTCTAATTCCTGTATTTCAATGTCCGATGCCCTTTACCCCTATCTCCAAAAGTGACTACGTGATGGGGGAAGTGAAAATGAGAAGTCCACAAACCTTCGAGAAAGCCCAGCAGAATGGTAATGTTTATAAAATCTCTATTGTTCACAAGTAATTTCAGCAACCGTAAAAAAAAACCATCATGTGACAAAGAAGTAAAGTCCCGATTGAGCACTACGCCGTGAACACGTTTGAGGTGGGGGGGGGATGTATAGATCCACGTTTTCTTGACCTCGACATTAGATGGAGGTGAGTGGTCAGCTTCACGCCCCGGCTGCTTTATCCCCTGGGAAAAGGCGCCCGGTATTCAGGCTAGGTGGGCGCCAGAGCAGGTCTGGACGAGGTCGAGAAGTGAAAATTCTTGACCATACCGAGACTCAAACTCCGACCTCATAACCCACAAAAATTCTGCTAGTTTTCACGAGACCAAGGGCCACAGAGAAAAGTTTAATTAACACACGTCTGACATTGACAGATATAATTTGCCCCAAATGGAATGGGTTATGAATTGAACCGTAATCTGTATTGTTATGCCGGTTTCTCTAGACAGTTGAATAACATTAGATGTGCGTCCGGCGTGAAACAAAGCGTTGACTTTTTCGTATTAAATTAAATTAAATTTAATCGAACCGAACACCACGAGAATCACGTAAACTTAACTCTATGTGTCGCTTGAAGACATTCCAAGAAAAAGTAAAAGAGCCGTGTTTACCCTCTCAAGACGCTTAGAAATCTTGCATCAACGACTACTTTACTACATGCTGCGACACACGTGAGTCTGTGCTAGCAGGACTACGTGATTCCCTGCACGCCCAGGTGTCAGGGCCGTTACATCAAACATGCCGATCGACAAATCACTGTCAGTCACGATTTCTGCTCTACTCGTAGTTCTCAGATAACAGGAGATAACACCAAGACCTACCCGGAACATCATTCGGAGCCTATTCTATCTTTATAATCCCCCTTCCTCTACGACCCATTTTAAAATCAATTTGTCCATTTTCCTCTTTCACAATTCTGTATATATTTCTTGTTTCCTTCCATCATAGCTACGGGTCCAGTCCACACTACTTCCTGGAATTTTTCTGTCATAACAGCTACGCTACCTACACGTATAACTGCATAATGAGGAGCTTCATAACTTGAACTCTTCTCCTAGTATAATTAGAATGATCAAGCCAAGGAGGATGAGGTGGGCAGGGCATGTAGCACGAATTGGGGAGAAGAGAAATGCGCATAGGATATTGATGGGAAAGCTAGAAGGAAAGAGACCACTGGGAAGACCAAGGCGTAGGTGGGTGGACAACATTAAAATGGATCTTCGTGAGATAGGATAGGATGGTATGGATTGGACTGATCCGGCTCCGGATAGGGACCCTTGCGAACACGGTAATGAACCTTCGGGTTCAATAAAATGCTAGGAAATTCTTGAGTGGCTGCAGAATTGGCGGCTCCTCAAGAAGGGCTCACGTCCATGAGTAAGTAAGTAACAGCTGCGTATAATGGCTACATAAACCATTCCGCACTTCAATCGTTCAATGTCTAAATATTTTTGCTAGCATCTTTCCTTTTTTTGAAAGTTATGTGAAAAGTAAAAGCAGGTTAAGTTATCTCTGTGCTTAATTAATTAAGCACTATGCCATGAAGGCATATGTGAGAGTGGAGGTATAGCTACACCAGTATTGACCTCGACATTAGAGGGAGGTGAACGGACAGCTCCACGCTTCGGCCGCTTTACCCCGGGGAAAACACCCCTGGCACCCAATGGATGGGTGCACCGAAAAGACGTCTGGACGCTTTGGAGAAGTGAAAAATCCTGCTCCTACCAGGAATCGAACCCTGTCCGTCTAGCCCCTAGCTATACCAATTGAGCTATCCCGACTGTTCCTTCCTTCCTTCCTTCCTTTTCATCGCTACAGCTCAGGGTGAGCTTTGGCCTCTGAACAATCTGCCTCCTTTATTCTCTGTTCTTCAGCTTTCCTCCCAATCCTTTAACTTTCCCCTACGGAGATCATCATGTACATCCTCCAACCGTCTGAGCTCCTTCGCTGATCTCGATTTCCTTTCAATCCATGCATCCGAGTCTGATTGTCTGATTTCTGAACAATTTAGCTTTTTACCGTGTGAGGTTGTTAGCCTCACGCCCAACCACCAAACTGGATGACCAGGATATCCCTCTTCGTCTGGCCCTTACCCCTTGACCTGTCCAGCATGGGTGACCCTACCAGTAGCTACGCTACAGCCAGCATAGCCCTCAGGGTCTCAGGAGCACTCAAACCCCACCACATCGATAAGGAGGAGACACCATCGGTAGGGATCCGGAGTCTTACGCAAAATTTATGTTCCTCCCGGAACGTCGAAATGTAGCGATCAGCACAAATACCTGTAGCGATCCTAATATTCGACAATAGCCCCTCCCTTTCACCTGACCGAGGTTTCTCTTGGCTTTCCTCAGTTTTTCCAAGGAAATAACAGGATAGTACCTCAAATGAGATTATAACGACTTCCTTCCACATCCTATCCCATTCATTATTCACTGGTCATTCTACAATTCGACTCCATATATCCGGGCTACTGACAGTGTCGTTAAATAAACCATTAATTAATTAATTAATTGAATATACTTTCAGTCACAGACATGTTCATTTGTCCTGGCAGAAACCACAAATATCAGCCAGACATTTTTATTTTATCGTCTGAGCTGAAATGTTATTTCACCCCTGTGACGGAGTTTCGTGTGCGTTCATGCGTGCGTACAACTGTTCACGACTGCTACATTGGGCACTCGTCACCGGTGACGTAAGCAGGATGTAAACTGTCTTGTGTGTTCAGCGTCTGAATATGTCTACTCTAATTACTAACAAAACAACAATGCACACACGCCACAACAGCTGACGCAAAAAAGCAAGCGACATATCTCTCCTTGTTAAATAAAAGTGGAGACATGAGTGTTCTTAACGCAGTATTTGCGATTTCGTTTGGTGTTCGTTTATTGGAGATACAATATCTAAGTTACTACAAGAAACACAAACCCATTTTTGTAGATCTAGTTAGTTATGGAAACTGTACACTACATGCACAAGTTTTTTGCCTTATATTTCGTTATGCTTTTGAAGTAAACCAAGTAACCAAATGGAAGGGTTTAATGAGAATCTAGCAGTTCTTCGAATAGCCTAGAAATTCTCAGCATATTATGGAGCACCAAGATTCATTACCGTGTCCAGAACAGCTCACAACTGGTCCCTATGCTGAGCCAGATGAGTCCAGTCCAGACCTACCTATTTCTCTAAGGTCTATTTTAATATCTCTCCATCCATGCCTAGGTCTTCAAAGTGGTCTCTTTCTTCCGTCACATACGCGCAGGCCTAGATACAAAATGGTTAAAATACATATTGTATAACTTAACTGTGTCTAAGAGCCGCGCCATAGCTCAAGCAGTTAGTCTGGCTTCCCACCGAGGCAGCCCCGGTTCGATCCCTGGTCTGGTCAAGTGGGATTTGTGGTGGACAAAGTGGTGCTGGGGCAGGTTTTCTCCGAGTACTTCGGTTTCCCCTGGCAATCTTCATTCCACCAATTGCTCCACAATCACCCTCACCTATCATCTGGGGCTGGTACAATAGGCCAGAAGTGGCCGCAGTACAAGGGACTTAGTCCCACCCCACTAGCAATAAAAAAAACAATATCTATGTCTATATTCCACGGATGGAGACCACCTCTGTAGTCTAGTGGTCAGCATTCTTGACTACAGATCCCGAGGTCAGGGTTCGATTCTCGGCACTACCAGATTTTTTCTGAGAAGTAGTGGGTCTGGAACGGAGTCCACTCAGCCTCGTGATTATAATTGAGGAGCTATTTTAAGGAAAGAGCGGCTCCGGTCTAGAAAACCGAAATTAACGGCCGTGGGAATTCGTTGCGCTGACCACGCGACACCCTCTATCCGCAAAAGTTGGCATTAAACTTAGCCGACAAGCGGCGGTATAGTTCGCTTGCGACTTAGATCATGGAGTTTTTTTTTTATATTCCACGTATGGACCAATACAGTATTTCGAAAGAGAAGCCTTTTTTTTTCTAAGATTCAAAAGTTTGATTTGAGCCTCAACGAAATGGGGTTTTGTATTAAGCCGAAATGGATTAAAATTACATTCTAGCAACTTTTCGTGTTGACTCTAGGACTAATTTTCATACAAATCTGTTCCGTGTTTCTAAGATGAAATATTCTTGCACGGACGGAGACAATTACCTTATTAAGAGGGAGAGAGAGTAAACAGGTCACAAACGGATATAAAACGTAAAACATGTCACATTAGAACCTGGAAGAAACATTAATTTCTCGATTTATCCTCCATTAACACTAATAAACTCATCCTATTACTTTACCATTGCGTCGAAACACGCAGCATAGAAGTTTTTGACTGTTGTCTCAACCCATTCCGCACCCGGTCGGGCATCATCTCCGACTTTCGAACGTCCTTGAAAGAATTTCTCGACCCACCTGTGAACCGCTATACACAAGAAACACTTCCCACCGTAAACAGGAAACATTTCTTTATTAATATAATTTGCACTGAGCCTCTTTACCCACGAAAAGATCGCACAACAGAAAGCTGCTCTTCGGCAGTACATCCATCAAGCACGGTCGTCATTTTGACTACTGAAACCAGACTCTGAACATATGCACGCGCATCTATCACCTAGACCGTCATGAAGCTGGACTATGCTGCTACCTAGTGATATACATAGAAAACCTATTACATCCATTTTTACTTCCATTTGTGACCTATTTACTGACTCTCGTACGTTTTTGTTTTATGCTCTGTATGCAAAGAATGCATAAAACAATTGCTGAAGCGTTCCATCTTCTGGCATATAGCGCCGTGCAGTCCGTTAAAAGTAAACAGGCGTTTCGGGATATAATATCGCCTCCATCTTCGACTCTAAAGATGGAGGAAACATTTCCTCCGAAACGTCGGTTTACTTTGAACTGACTATGCGGCGTTATATCCCAGAAGATAGACCTCTTCATAACCACCGCCGTAAGAACCTCAAATCCTACAAAACGATCGTTGACGGTAAACGGTAAAGTTGTTTCTGAGCTTAATTAATTAAGCAATATGCCATGAATACGTATGGGGGGTGGAGGTATATCTCCTCCTTTCTTGAACTCGGCACTGGATGGACATGACTAGTCAGCTTAAAGCCCCGGTATCCTCGGGGTAATCGCTCACGGTACGTATTGGATAGGAGGCGCAATTGTTGATGCCACAATTAAAATTATTTATGAAACATTTGTGCTGCTGGGAATTCAGTTCGTAAATTTCGACTAGCGTCATTTGTTTCCATGGTCACTATACTTACCTTACACCATGCATCTTCACATGCTAGAGGTTGCTGCAATAACCCGAGGATGGCCAAATGGAGAAACAGCGCAATGCTCGTCCAGTGAAAACCCCGATGAAGATTCTGCATAATAAGTCTATATACCTCTTGTGAACTCGCACAGTTAAAACTTCTTTGAAATGTTCACATTTACATTGGCTTAATTATCTGCTTTAATTATGGAAAGTCCTTGGAAGAACGTAGTACTCCGTTACAAAGACCACAACACAGTATTACTCCCGAGAATTTAAAAAACGTAATTATCACAAGAGAGGCATGTGAGGCATGCTGAAATCAGTACCACATTTTGAATAGCTCTTGACATAGAATACTCGTACATTCTTTATCTCTTTTCCTACCCATATGCAAGTATCGGTTTCAGCACCAGTAACACGTATTAACTGGTACTCGGTTACAAATGCCGCAGTCATTAGAACGTCAATGCAGGTCCCATAACGAGTTCTATTTCTTATCGCTTCCCACGCCTATTTGCGATTTACGGCCATGAGACACAAAGAGTGTGATATAGTTTGACGTAATATACCGAACAATTGTACACGTGTTTCTTACTCTTCAAATACAGAGATCCTAACGTGCAAATGTATCAGGCGCTTCGAATGTAGTCGGCTTTAGCACCGATCTTTATGGTGATAACAACACACATCGAGAAAATGAAACGTATATTTTCTATGAATGCATCCTGTTGTGTTAAATATATAAATGTATTTATTAAAATCCGTCACAACACAACAACAAAACAGTAAAAAAAAAAAGTAAAGGTATCCTTGTAACAGGCTGTGGAGGCCCATAGGGTTGTGAGATGTTGAGGTTCCCACATTTTCTTGACAATCGGCTCATAGATGGTGGTAAGGTTGACAGCCCTACACGCCAGCCGCCCTTTACCCCCAAGAATATTTAAAGAATACTCCCGCTACTCATTTCTGTTAGAGGCTGAGTCGACCCCAGGGCCATAGTGAGGCTGGAAGGATTAGGTCAATTGAAAAAATCCAGTGACCTCATTGGGATTTGAACCCGCGACCTTCCGGCTTGTAGCGTAGTGCCTCAACCAACTACGATACCGCGTGCCCCACATCAAAATAGTTGATGTTTAATAACATTTTGCTATATGTTTCGAACTTTTAGAAAGCCATCATTAGGCAAATACACAATTAACGTGTTCTTAAGCTATTGAATTGCATACTACTCGTACATAATTCAGTGCAGTGTTGGATTTTTAACAATATATCATAATATACAAGTAATAATATAAAACATGACATACAATAAAATATAGAGATTTTAAACGAGATATGTTATATAATTAAAATATAATTAAGAACTATACACATAATATGTCCTATTAAGGTGGAACACGTTAATTGTGTATTTGGCTGATGATGGCTTTCTAAAAAGTCGAAACATGTAGCAAAATACTGTTAAACACAAACTGTTTTGTTGTTGTGTTGTGACGGATTTTAATAAAGAAATTTATGAAACGTATACTTACACAATGTATAATGTTAATCTTATTAGGAGCTATAACTTCTGCCCGAATAATTTTGACCCATTTTCTTTTCTTCAAGAAAAAAAAAAGCTGATTTATGAAAACCATGCTGTCTTTGTGTGTGTCTCCTTATTTAAACTTTAGAACGGGTTGACTGATTTTACGATAGTTGCTACCGGTATGCAGATTATCATTAGAAGTTACCTCAACTGCGTAATTTTTAATTTACTACAATAGGTGTTCTGGTATAGAAAACCGGGGTTAACGGCCGTGGGGATTCGTTACGCTGACCATGCGACACCCTCCATCCGCTAAAGCTGGCACTAACTTCACCGACAAGCGGCGGTTGCTCGGTCTTGCGGTCTTGCTTGCGGACTAAAACCACGAAGTTTGTTTTGTTTTCTACAATAGGTATTAATAATATGATGAAAGCACGAACATTCCAGTTGCAAGCGACCCTATCACCGTTTAATCTGTGGTAATTAAATTATGTATGATAACAGATCTTAGAAAAACATGCAAGTATCCCTTCGGTATTTTTTATTTCTACAAAGTGACGACACAAGAAATCTCTATTCAGTCTTCGGCGTGATGGCGGTAACGAATGAATCATTGCAGCCAGACATGAGGAATCTGGTACAGAGACAGATGGTAAACACACCTACATACAGTGCATTGAATATTGTCTGAAGTCAACAATTATATATATATATGACGAAAGTGCGAAACTTTGTGATCATGCCAGACAGATTTTGTGTAGACAATATCGCAATTTGAGAAGTATGGTAAACGGTGAAGTTGTCCCTCTGCTTAATTCATTAATCACCGATAAGACGTAAGTGGGAGTAGAGGTATAGCTGCACCATTCTTCACCTCTGGTTTGGGTGAAGGTGAGTGGTCAGCTTCACGCCTCGGCCGCCTTATCTCTCCCCAGGGAAAGATCCCAGGTACCCATTGGACAGGAGGCTGAGTAGGCCCTAGAGGCGGTCTGGACGCTGTAGAGTAGAGAAAAATATTTTGTTCCTACCAAAAATCGAACCTCGGCCGTCCAGCCCGTAGCCCGTCGTTATACAGGCTGACCAATCATAGCCCTTCATTTTCCAAAAATGAAATAATATTAATAACAACAACAAACACAACAGCAAGTATAACAAATTCGATTCTACCAGAATCCGATCTCATGCCAATCCACGTAGAGTACAGCATACTAACCCAAGAGACAAACTGAAGTTCACTGCTGAGTTATAAATTTACATTATCTAAATATAATATTACCAATACAAAATTGATAGAACTAGAAGCCAAAGCAACAGGGAAATAGGGGTTATGACTTCTAGCAGCCATCCTTATTTGATCTACTAAATAGACCCTCCGGTTTGCGGCGGTCTTTCGTCAACATAGTAAATTACAGTTTCATAAAATAAGGCTTTTTTTTTGCCCTGCTGATTCATTACATTTTTATTTCTTTTAGGAACCATCGATACAAATTCAGTTACAATATAATGCGTACGGCACGTCAGAATTCAGCAGTGTCAAGTACGCATTGGATTAACTCATTTCTCTTGCCACGAGTCGAGCACTGAACGTAAATAAAAGAACAATTCTTTCAGCTACGTAACAAAGGTAAAGCACGTGCTTTTGAAAATAGTTGGTAACAGCATTACACGATTTGTCTACAGTTCTTGTCTGCAATCTGCCGAATCTAGTATTTCGGAAGTGACATTGCGATCTTTTGGGTCATGGCATTTTACAATTTTGTAGGAATCTGGTGCATTATCTTCGATCAGAGCGGTGTGGAAGAAACAGATCTCTCAGAAACGTTGGTAACGACTTACGAAATTACACGGTGTCATAATTCAGAAGACAACAATCTTAATTTTCACACTAATGAAGGATCACAATTTTCTAAAAAAGTGGTTCGTGCAGTAAAAATCTCGAATATCCTTACGATACGATACACTACTACTCATATTCCCGCTATCCACATCGCGGAATGATACTGTTGTTCACCACCGTTCACCACGGCCTGGCGTTGTCCAATCAGCTGCTCCCGTGTCATGTTCTTAGACCGGAAGTATGTGTCTCCTTGCCGTCTGTATTGCAGGAGGTTTGTTTGTTTACCTTTGGCAGTTCATGTTAGCATTTACGTCAGACGACACCTAACAGAGATGGAACATGCAAGCAAAAGGGAATTACTGGTTATTGTAAACAAACAAAAGGATCAATTAATTCGATATGAAAGTCGCCTGCGCGGTAAGTTGACTTGGCAGATTCAGTAGTTTCTTGATCAGTGTTTTTATGATGTAACATAACCTATCTCTGATAACTTTGCTGCGAACACGTCACAAGTACGGACTCTTTCCAGATGTTGTCACTGCATATAAGGGACTGATTAAGGAAAAAGAAGCCCTCGAAGCCAGCTTGAAAGCCTTAACTGTATCCAGTACGTCTGACAAATCTACTCGGGCAGAAAACAAGACCAGTAGCAATGAAACAGAGAAGGAAGAGACCACTGCCAATAGTGCTTTCACTTCGGAAGTGGAGGTAATAAAATGTATTCCCCAGATTGCTATGAACTGCGCAAGATAAAGCAAACAAAATATGTATAGCCATTATTATAGTGTACAATCCAATGGAACATAAAGTTTGGTATGTCTTCCACAAGCACATATGAAAGAATTTGAGAACCGCTTAACAAACTGGGGTTTTAATATGCTGTCGCCACATATGCCAGCTATCATTAAAATCTCAAATAAAAATCACAGACACTTTACATGAAAATATACATGAGTTCCTGACCAGTCTCCTCACTAATACCTGTAGTGGCAAAAAATGTTTCAAAGGAAAGCTATAGATAAAAATGAAACATATGTTTGATGTTCAGTATGCTTTTGCTGTAAGTCATGCTGTATTTGAGGCAGTCAAAACAAGGAATGCTATACATATTAAACTATTGTGGTCTCCTAAACACATTTGAAGATTACTAAAGTCATGTATTCTCAATAATAATTAAATTAATCTTCATCCTACTTGAATTTATATGGCTGCATATACATAGTGAAAATACAGTTGACTGTGCAGCTTAAGTTGTATTTATGTTCCTGAAAGTGACTAATTTCAAAATTATGGTAATGGTGTCTGCCGGATTGAATTGAACATGTGGTTTATGTTATGTTGGCAAGTAAACAATTTTCAATAATAGACTGTGCTACATGCGCTGTTCCTAATTTCTCTATTGTTATGTGTTACCATGGTTATGTGTGTGAATATATATAAAACGCTTTTTTTGTATCTAAAATTATTCTTAATAAACACTGATTCTTACTTATCATTCAATCGAAGTAGAAGTGAAAATAGCAGTTTAAAGCCAGTAAATTATGTCAGAACATTTCATTAATTTGATTTTAGCATCCAGAATATATAATGACATTTTTAGCTACAATTCAGCAAAGTCATGTACATTCATATACCATCTGATAATCTAATCTGACTGAAACATGTAGAGGATATACTCAATAAAACAAGTATTAACATGTTTCAGCATCAGTTTTACTAACTGTGTTGACAGTGACAAAGTACTTTGCTCTTCTCTTCCATAAATCTTATGGTTTTGAGATAACTGAACAAATGGTCTTTTGAAATGTATACGCAATAACAGAGTGAATGCATCAGAACTGTTACGCTGTATGCACGTTTTGCAACTTGTTAATACTTATTTTCACACAGAATATCAACCAGGATCCAAGAAGACTAATTACTTGTACCAAAAGTTCATTAATGCAGGCAAGGTGAAGATATGTCCACTTATTTTGTAGTTAAATCTGGCCATATTTCCAATGAAAAACGTTCTTTCAGGTTTCTCCTAAGGAAGAAACCAATCAAAGTGAAGAAACTGTTGAACATCTGCATTCTCAGCTTGCTACTCTGATGAACTCTCTTGCTACACTCTCTGCTGAGAAATCTCGAATGGAAGCAAGTTTTCAAGCAGATAAGAAGCAACTCCGTTTTGAAAAAGAAGAGGTATTGTTAAAATATTTTAAACCATAATTTTTAAAAATCCCTTTTGAATAGTGGTTATGGCTGTCTCGGTTCTGATGACCACCGATTGATTTTAATATAGATTGAGGATAACACAATTTTATGGCTAGAGAAAATGTAGAGAAGACTTTCACATGTACTAATAGATAAGCAGTCACTTTTTACACGTTGTTGTTATATGATGTCAGAGACAAGTGTCCTACCAACTGACACAAAAGAATAATGCTTATAATAACTGCAAGACCTGTGTCCAGTGTTCTGATTCTTCTAATGTACACAGAGTTGATTGAAATGTTGACTGTTACTTTGTATGTTAGTATTTTAAAATTGTGATTTAAAACATTTCAGCATGAGAAAGTAATTAAGGAGCTACAGGAGAAATACCAACAGTCCTTACGGCTTCATCAATCAGAAGTTGAAATTTTAAGATCTAAACTTACTACAGAACGTCATGAACGAGAGAAGGAACAGAATGATCATGGTGTTATGATTAGGTGAGATGTGCCCCTGCAGAATGAGGGGACATAACTGGAAGTCATATTATGAAATTCAATTACAATCCAGTTTGCAATAATACCACAAAGGAAGTGTAAGCTTAGTGTGCAAATGCTTGATCGGAAAGTAAAGATCAAGTTTGGAATAGTGTTTTGTGCCCTCTCCACTACTATTAATATTACTCTAGCAAAGTGGCATCTTCTCTTAACCATACCTCTGAAAACCATGAGAGGATTCATGCTTGTTTTGTACATCACCGGTGTCAAAATTAAAAGCAAATTTTATTAAATGTATATATAAAAAACTGCTGAAATTGGCATCATAATGTATATTGTTGTTGTTGTTGTTGTTATTATTGGAGAGGGTGGGTTTCCCCATGCACTTAGACCAGATATTGGTCCATTGTGCATCCCCGTGATATTCTACCAGTCTCTATTCCCTACCGGTACTGGTGTGTGCCATCAGTCCCGACTCAGCCAGCTAGTTCGGCCTATACTGGCTCAGCGGTATCTCGATGCTTCCCCCATCTACCAGAGGCGTTAGAGACTACTGTTGGGCGGGAAATGCCCTGAATTTGGCTCAGAGGTCCCCTTGGGACATGAGGTTCTTTTATGTGCTGTAAAGCTACGACATGGGACCCACGGCTTAAAGTCCCTCCCGGAGGACTTGTTCCTTGAATTTTTCCACCCTTAAAAATTCCACGACATCCGCCGGGTTTGAACCTGCGTACCTTGAGTCATGAGGTGGAAACGTTACCCCTAGACTACGGAGACCGCTATCATAATGTGTAACACACCACTGGACATAATCTCAAGCCAGTTCTATCCATTCTCATAAACGATTTAATTTATCTGATTCTGTATTCCAGAGAACTGCAGAAGCTTTTGGCAGAAGAGCGCCGATTAAAAGATCAACAGGAAAATCAAACAGAAGAACTAAGAACCAAGTTCACTCAATTAGAATCACAATCTGGACAGAAGGAACAGTATGAGAAGAAGCTTAGGGATCTTCGTAATGAACTGGAGGCAACTCGTAGGAAACTGAAGCGAGCAGAGGCCAAAGCAAAGGAAACCCCTCCATTACTGTTGGAACTACAGGATGAGATGGCCAACATGAAACTTCAACACCAGGCAGCAATATTTGAGGTACTTTCTATCAAGTACCAAATATTACTACATCGGTTGCATTTCCGTGACCTTCTTATTAAACGTCATTCAAGCATAAACATCTTATGATACACAAACAGAGATTGTGTCTCTATAATGAATTTCTTGACCATTTTGTATTTCTGCTACAATAGAAAACATAAAACATGACAAAACAAAATAAAATAGTGTAGTCAATGCATCAGGGAAAACAACAGTACCTCAACATGTATACCAAGAGGCAATCACAAGTGTTAGGTATAATGTAGCAGATGAATAGATGTTCCCATATTTGGTAAAAGGCTGCATTTACGTGGAATTTTAAAATTAATTTTTCTCTCTTCCATCCTCCCTTTTACACAAGCGTTGCCTTTACTACTGAAATACATTTTGGTTCAGGGGACTTAAAAACCAAGTGGAGAATAACAGCTATTGCAGTTCACTTTCCTTAGTTATGTGAAGCATGTGACAAAATCAAGTCCACAGATATTGATATTTACTCGTCTTATTCTGAAGGAGCAAAAGCGAGCTGCTGATGCAGAGGAACGTGCCCGACGATTGGCAACTGTTCATGAAGAGAGGGTAGCAAACCTTGAGGCAAGACTGGCTGAACTGTCAGAAACAGTTGGAAACTATGATCGCCTAAGACAGCAAGATCAAATGGCCATCCAAAAACTAAAAGTGAGGAAATCATACTCGTACAGATTGAAAGTTCACAAAATAACACCTATTATTGCTATTTTAAGTATTACTGAAATTTATTATGCAGTGGTTCAATTTTATCCTATTTCATATAAAGTCAAACATCATACTTGTAACAGAACACTATACATAATTTAATGAATGTGTACAACTACAAGACAGGAAGATCTTGCATTGGTTTTAAATGACAGAAACTTCACTAATCTCTATGGGTCACTGGATTTTTCCATTCACCTAATCCTTCCATCTGCACCATGGCCCTGGGGTCGACTCAGCCTCTAACAGAAATGAGCACCAGGAATATTCCTGGGGGTAAAAGGTGGCCAGCACATAAGGCTGACAACCTCACTGCCATCTGTGAGCTGACTGTCTAGAAAATGTGGGAGCCTCAACATCTCACAACCCTATGGGCCTCCATGGTCTGTTACAGGGATAGCTTTACTTACTTTACTATATGTGCTTAGGGAACAATAAGGGAAGTGTTACCTAGCAAACTGGCTCAAGTGTTAACACTTGTGACTTGTATTCATGAGGTTAGTTCAAATTTTGGCAGGGACAGCAATTATCCTGACTTTGATTTTCTCTGCTTTTCCACAATCTGTCCAGGCAAATGCTAGAATAGTACATTAAAATAAGCTATAATCATACCCATGTCCTTTCCATATGATGCTATATAGTGTGAGCTACTAACAGCATCAGTAAATGAACCATACATAAATAAATATGGGAAATGTTGAAAATAAACTGAACAAGATTTTTCTGTATGTCAGAAATTGCATATTGTCACGTGTTGGGTATGTCACACGACAAATAAATTCACGTGGGTCTTGGATTCAGCGAATCTTTATTGGACACTCACACTTTCACACATTACAATCATTAGCACTTGCAGTATTAAAATGACTGCTTACAATATCTCGGCCAGTACATCTGTATCTCTCGGCATCTATCGTGAGACTGACTTCTGTATCCTTCAGCATCTATCCAAAGACTCTTATCAAATGTATTGCCTTCTTATATGTCTGGGGCTGTTGCTATGCATTGGACCTTCTGTTGTAACCGTGGAGACTCCTGTTAGAACTATAATACTGCTATTGTTGTTTCCTATGCAACGATCTATTCCAGCGTTTCCATAGAAGTGACTCTTCTGGATTCCAAACACGTTACAATATTTAATGCTGGTAATATTTTTTGTTCAACTTATGTGTAGGTGTAAAATTATTTAGGACCGAATACAAATGATTCCTACATAATAATAATTTAGCTAGTGCAGTTTTGAAAAGCAAGCTAATTAAAACAGGTATATACAAAGATAAGGATGATTGTAACAAAGTAACCGACATACATATAAATCAAACAATTCAGTGTAAGTTCTTTAGAATATTAACAAAGATCAGAATCACTGAATATATTAAATTTATTTTATGGCAAGACTGCCAGACACAGTACCTCCTGATCCTAGCAAGCCAAAGCAACATAACAAAGAAACCGAAATTCAGTTGGACCAATCTGTGATTGATCATGCCAGTCATAAACACAGACAGAAAGACGAACTTATTACATCCTGAGAGTTGTTATACAGAAAATACCAAAATCACATTAGAGACCTATTCAAAATTAACACCATGGTCTCTTCTATAGTAATAATCAGACCTTTACTGAAATTTAGAATATGGCTGAAATGGTAGTGCCATCATAAATAAAAAGGTCTTGATGATAGTGACCTTGTATATCTTATACATAGGTAAGTCAATGAGTAAGTTACAGATGGATATAGAACTTAAACAAATAAGTGTACTGATTTGGAAAATGCTTTTATTTCTCAACATAATCTCCCTTTATATTGAGGCACTTGTCCCATCATTTCACAAGCCCCTGAAAACCAGCAATATAAAATTCTTTGGGCTGCTGTCAGAACCAGGCGTGTTCACATGGCATGGCGTACCTCGTATTGTATGACAGGTTAGGTTTTCACAAAGTCTGTGCACAATGGGTGCCACACATGCTGACCCCACAACACAAAATGCAAAGAATGGGTCTGGCATTACAGCATCTCAATCGCTACAGTGATGAAGGACATGATACGCTAGCCTGAACTGTCACAGGTGATGAGTCTTGGGTTCACCATTACCAGCCCAAGACAAAGCGCGCGTCAATGCAGTGGAACCATCCTGCGTCGCCTGCCAAAAAAAAAGTTTAAGGTGACATCATCCTCCAGGAAAGTGATGCTCATAGTCTTCTGGGATCACGAAGGCATACTGCTCACTGCATTCCAGCCTCACGGTGACGCAGGATGTTTCCACTGCATTGACGCGCGCTTTGTCTTGGGCTGGTAATGGTGAACCGAAGACTCATCGCCTGTGACAAGTTGGGCTAGCATATCGTGTCCTTCATCACTGTAGCGATTGAGATGCTGTAATGCCAGACCCATTCTTTGCATTTTGTGTTGTGGGGTCAGCATGTGCGGCACCTATCGTTCACAGACTTTGTGAAAACGTAACCTGTCATGCATTATGAGGTAGGCCATGCCATGTGAACACGCCTGGTTCTGACAGCAGCCCAAAGAATTTTATATTGCTGGTGTTCAGGGGCTTGTGGAATGATGGGACAAGTGCCTCAGTGTACAGGGAGAGTATGTTGAGAAATAAAAGCATTTTTCAAATCAGTACGCTTATTTGTTTAAGTTCTGTATCCACTTGTAACTTACTTATTGACTTATCCTCGTACAAGTGTAACTATTTCAGACTGTAAGTTCAAGACATTTCAGAAAGCCTAACTACCAGCCTAAAGAAAATATCGTGGACATCTTAATACTGGAATGGAAACCACCTTCAGCAAGGACAACAATTTGGAGTGATCATAGTGTGTTTTTATTTTTTACTAAATTATAACTTGACTTCTTTCCAGGAACATATTGCACAAGTAGACATCGAGCATTCAACTCTTTCTCGGATAACACCTAATATGTCTGTGATAGACTCAGAGGCAGAATTAAAAGGGAAAAGTGAAGCAGATCTGTGTCTTGATGTACAGACTTTGGTGGACAAGATCCTTTACCTTAGGGGACAACTTGTTTTGGCCAGTCAGCGTGCAGAGAAACCAGTCGATATACATGGTACAGTGTGTCTCTCGATAACTAACATCAGACCTTCGTGTTATTACAGAACAAGATAGCAAGTTCATACATTTTACTGCATTAATATAATTCACACTTTTTTTAAACAAGCATGTATCATGTAAGGTTTATCGTCCATATATGTATTTTCATTTCCCACAGATATCCTAAACATTAATGACTCCTTGGGCTTTAAAAATAACGATGAACATAAGTCTTGTCAAGAAGAATATCAACAACTGAAGCATGAGTTTGAACAGTACAAACAGTCACAACTACAACAGCCTAATAATTTAAGGTAAATCTGTATAATCATTAGAAAGTCCAGCATGTAAAGTCAAAGCTGTAAGGACATCCATATTTTTTCCATAGAGTTTAACCTTTTAAACTGTTGTTATTGGTTGTGTACATGTGTTGTAAGGCCATTCTTGGGTATGGGGGGTAATCCTAACTAAATGAATGAACCTGGCTACATTATAAATGGTGCCTAAGCAAAATAATCATACACATTTGGCATGGAAGAATTTGTGATAGAAAATGTTTACTCACATAATATAAGAAATCTGCACTTAAATGGTTAATTGTATGTGAATATGCACAATACTTGTTCATAAAAATATATGTACACTCTCATGTAAGCTGATTTTCTCATCAGGATGGAAGAGAGTTCAGTAGTTTCTTCGTTACAAACTCAGGTGAAGACTCTCAAAGATCGAGTTCGCATACTCAACAGTCAGTTGGAAGACACTGATGCTGAGTGGAAGCAGAAAGTTGACGATCTCCAGCAGGTAGATACTAACACATGCTAGGGGACAAAAGTGCTGGAAATATGGACAAAACTATGAAACTGGTTATTTTATTGTTCTGGTTACATTTTCCATTTATACACAACAAAAAATTATTTGGATGCTAGACAGAACATGATTTGTCAAGAATGGAGATTCGGACACCAGTCAACCATATTTATACATCAGCATATAAGTGACAAGTGATGGGAGAATTTTGGATACTTGATTCCCTGAAAACTTTCTGCTGTGAACTACAGTATTTAAATATGTGAAAGTAAAAATAAAGTTATCCTTGTGTTAAGCAAGCAACATGCAATGAAGAACTAATCACTATGCTGACTAAGCTATCCCAGCTCATTTTTAAATATGGTACACTGAAAAGTTTTAGCAAATTCTGTGTCTAAAAATCATAGAAAAAAAAAAACCTGCTTCATGCTGTAATACACTGACATGCAACTACAGTTTACTACAAACTGTACTGAACAAATGAGCATTGGTTTATATTTTTTCTTTTCTTCCATGAATAAGTGAACTGGTGCTGTACACTTAAAAAAATTCTCGTGTTTCATGAAACAATACATGATGTCATGTAATTCTAATACAGACATTTTGAACCTTCTAGAAATCCTTTTGGGGCATGCGGTAGTATAGTTGGTTGAGGCACTATGCTACAAGCCAGAAGGTTGCGGGTTCAAAACCTGATGAGGTGGACTTTTTTCAATCTACCTAATCCTTCCGGCTGCACTATGGCCCTGGGGTCGACTCAGCCCCTAACAGAAATGAGTACCAGATATCTTCCTGAGGGGTAAAAGGCAGCCAGTGCATAAACTTGACAACCTCACCGCCATCTGTGAGTTGACTGTCTAGAGAAAATGTGGGAGCCTTGACATCTCACAACCTATGGGCCTTCAAGGCCTGTTACAAGGATAGCTTTACCTTTACCTTTACTTGGAAATCCTTTTTCTTTCACTTTAAAATGAGTGTAATAACATGAATTTAGTCTTTGTTGCCTTAAATTCACCAGAATAGAATAGAAATATCTATTAACATCCTTAACTAGAGCTACATTAAAGATTTTAAGCAATGTTGCAGTCCTAACAAATCATTATAATTACAACTTTTTTAAATAGCTTGTGTGAACAGTTCAAATTTTACTATTGTGAATTTAACATGTACTAACCCAGTCACACTATATGAGAAAAGTGCATCTGAGTGTCCGGTGAATACAATGGATCAATTTTCAAAATAATTATGATTGGCAGACTTAAATGAAATTTAATTTTGGTATGTACTGGACAATTACACGTATAACTGATTTGGACATTCAGAAATTTTCATGTCTAATGATGTATCCACCAGTAACTTTCCAGGAAAAGGATTTTGTGCCCATCCAGTTTTTAAACTTCTCCCTCCCATCACAAATTTCTGGCTTATGTTGCTATGAAGTTTGGTGCTCCCAGAATTTCTCTCTCTTTATATTCTATTTAACAGCACTGTCAGTATTGAGACTATACAGCGCTAATCACATTGATGATACTGAATGTGGAGCAGTTGGAATGAGAGATGGCAAGGGCATCTTAAGTACCCAGCCACTTTGTCCACCACAAATCCCACATGATCAGACCTGAGAACGAATCCAGGCTGCTGCAGTATCATAAAATCTGTCATTATATTCTGAGCATGTGACTAAGACCAAAAGAAAACAATGAACTTGGTATCAGTGAACCTAAAGTTAGCAGTACTTGCAGTTTCTGCATTTATGCCATCAACATCTTTATTAATATGAAAGTTAAGAAGTTATTTTCTGTACAGCTTTTAAAAGCTGAGAAGATGAAATGTAAGGAAGAGCTGGCTGCAACTGAGATGGACTACAGGGGCCGCCTATCTTTGTTGGAACAGCAGCTGCAAAAACAAAGGGAAAGGTCTCTCAGTTTACTGGAGGAAAAAGAACAAGAAATTCAAACTCTGAAATCTACATTTCAGATGTTCTTGCCTGGAAACATGAAACGTGGATCTCCAGCAGAGTTACTAGAGACTAAGGTATCTGCCTCTAATATAAACCAATTTTCTTAACTGTTAATTCCTTACGTTTCAGATGTCAGATGTACAGTAAACCCTGTTATTTTTAAGTGTTTGGGGCTGAAATACTACCAGCTTCAAATATCATCTTCACCACAGACTTACGGAGCATGGGAGTTGATATTATTAACATCAGAATTATACTGAATTGATGATAAATACTACTTCTGAAAATGGGTGAATGTAGTTCTAATTGCAGATACTTAAACTTCTCTAAATGAAACAAAGATCCTGCTTTAACATTAATGCACAACTGTTGGAACTTAGTTTCAGTTATCATGTTATGTCATTGTTTATGAAAACATAAGTAAATTTTTTAAGAAACTCCTTGCATATCTTGGAATAAAACGTTTACATTGCATTCATAGTTTGTACAATATTGTCATCAACATCTTTACATCTTATTTAAAGACTCCATTATTGGTAATGTTTTAAGGGCTTCTTTCCATGTGAGAGAGGAAGGAACTGGCTGTCTGTAGTCATCTCTGGCCTCTTCCTCTTCTCACTCACCAAACAGGCAGGAGAACAAATTATTCAAAATGATCATAACTGTCTACATGGATGTAATCAATGGAATCCACTGAGACAGTCCACTTGCCCTTGTAGCTGTCTCCAGTCACTGCATATTTTTCTATCCCAAAAGCAATATTTCTCATTGCACTGATATAATATCTGGGACATTCCTTTGTGTTTCTCACAAATAATAATAAAGCGCCCATGGTATGCACATTCCATGCAATGGAATCAAAGGCTGACATGCAATTTATATTAGGGGATAGAAAAAATGTGCTTCAGTTAAAGGCCTTAACGATTATGTGCTGCATATTAATCAAGGAGCAACAGAACATTCCTGTTCTTGCATGCCATTCCTTTTTCTAAGGAGAGCAGCCATTAGTGAAATATATTTGCAGTAAGCCATTAATTGTAGATACATTTATTACACTCGCATGGCCAACTCTGTATTTTTTGTGCCCTGTAGTTTTTCAAACTTGCCCATGACAAGTGACTAGGACTGTTCCCCTCTTCACATTACAACAGAATACCACAGTTAGCTTATCCTTCTGCTTATTTCCACATTGTCAGTGTTCTGTCAAGTTGAGCATAGTAAGGTAATGTAGTTCTACACTGAATATCTCTTCCTTCCATCAGTATCTAGATTATATAGTGGTAGGAGTGAAAATTGGAAAGAAGTGGCTGTGGTCTGATTGAGGTTTTATCCCAGCATTTGCCTGGAGGTACTGAGGAAAACCACCTTAAACCTTAGTCAGGATAGCTGGTATCTGGTTGAGATTCTAACTGAGCACCTCTCAAAAACAAGCGGAGAGTGGAACATGTTATGTAGAGCAGACTGTTCTTATATGGGTGCCATGTTTTCATGCCAAAAGAACATTTAACATTAACTGTCAGTGATGCTGTGTTATGTTACTTTTGCACCTCATTCCCAAACCTTTGTTTAAAATGGCCTGACACATACAACATTCCTACCTCATCTGTCATTTCCTGACCAGCCAATCAACTATCATTTCACATTAAATCATGCACATGAACTGCGCTGTTTTTAGTGGACATAAAAGATGCCTGTCACCTTCATTAAAAGAAGGAGAACTTAAAAACTTGTGCTTGACTTGTTACACATTTAAATGCTATATGCATTAGTTACTAAGTCTTACAAAATTTAATATACATGCATTGACATCAGTAACTGATATGTGGCAAAAATACCCTGATTTTAAATGTTGATGATGATAGACTGAGACAATGAAATGAGCTGTAAACACATTTGACATGAAACAACATGCCAGGACACATCTGTGCAGTGCAGTTCATCTCAGATATGAATTGACTAGTTTAAAATAGTAGGAGAAATAGCGTGATGATACAGGATGTATGCCGAGGAATGGTGGCTTTGACCAGAGAAGATTCAAGGCAAAGTTACAGTTTAAAAACGTTTATATTTGTGTATCTCCATAATATAATCACTGAGATATAAAACGGTTTTTCTGTTAACTGCTAAAGCAATGTAGCTTATGAACCATTATAATTGTAATGAAATATGCATCTGACCACAAACTTCTGATCTTACATTACTATAAACCACAATAGACCACTGTAGGTCGCGGTGCAAGGGCCGAGAAGGCCCACCCCTTATACATTCATACATTACTATATCTACAATTGCGTTCTAATTTAAAATCATATTTCAGGAAACAGGTTCTGGATCAGGAAATGTGATAGATAGTTTGACACAGTTCAATGAGGTGATTAGAGGTCTGGGCCCCACAGGTGGGGGAGAAAATCCCCACATGTTACACTATGCACATGAGCTGGCTAGACGAAATGTTGAGATATCAAACCTACGTAAGGCCAAGCACCAGCTTGAAAGTGCATTCCGACAATTTCAGAGGGCAGCAACCATTGAGGAGGAAAAACATCAGGAAGAAACAAATGAGCTCAAAGAAGAAGTGGCAAGGTTAGTTAAACCTTATAATAGCAAAAATAATGTTCTGTATACGATTACCCTGGAACCATTTAAAGAAAGAACTTAACGCTGAATACAAAAAGTTTCACAGCAAATAATGTACACTTCCCATTCGTTATGATATGATTTGTCAAGTCAGTTTTAAGAAGCTGCATGAAGAATTTAGAACATTAAGATTTCTCAACTTTTACCCTTCAGAAATCTGGTCTAGAAACCTGAAATTAATGGCTGTGGGGATTCACTGTGCTAACCATGCAGCACCCTCTATCCGTTAAAGTTGACACTAACTTCGCCGACAAGCAGCGGTCGCTCAGTCAGTATAGTTCGCCTGCGGACTAAAACCACGAAGTTTGTTTGTTTGTTTACCCTTCAGAAATAGTGATGTAGCATTTCCTCCAACATAATATGGAATTTCCAGTATCATTTGTTGCCCACAAGAGATTAAATCAATTTTAATGGGTTCTAATGATGATGTATTACATTTGGGGCTAGAGTTTCTGGACTTCGTCCATTACTTAATATTCTAAAAGAGCACAACGTTTTGGGAAGTGGATCTGTTTCCATCCTTAGGTGGAAGGCTGAGCAGGAGCCTCCCTACACTTTCACCTGAGTATGAAAACAGATCTGTTTGTGAAGAATTGTGTTACTTAAATTATTTGGCACAAACTCATTAAACAAAATGTTTACCCTTACATATAAAGCTATGCTAACTAGTAGATGCAAGCTTTCAAAATGTCTGGTGACTGGTACAATTAACCACTGTCACAGAAAATTTCTACTCTCTTTATCATTTGACCTTAGTGTACAAGATGTGAGAGACACTGCACACAGGAACTGACTAGTAAAGCAAGTAATACTGAATTACATTAGGTAATACAACCAGTGTTAGAATCTGTAATACACTATTTACTAACATAATTCACCTAGCCCCCCCTTCTCTGCAACTTTCACACGAAGTTCACTTCAAGAAAATGTAGTGTTCATAATGCAATTTAAACAATCTCATTTTGCTCTAGAAATATCACACAGACCCACAGAAAAGAAATTAAGTTTTCTTTTAGTGCTTAGAGCCAAAATCATTAAAAAAATTCTTGGACAAGGAACCTTAATCTCTGTCCCATTTTCCAGTATGCAGATCTGTGAAAATCTGATGTCTTCTGTGGTTAGGCTGTACAACTTCTGCTGTCAAAATATGCAGTGCAAAGTTACACATTTTTTATATTTGGAAGTCTGAAAGCAATTTCCCTTTTGAGGGCTATATCAGAACTGTGTGCAAGACACTCATATTCCAGAAAGATCCGATAAGCATAAAAAATTATAACAGGTTGGCAGTATAAGCTGCAGGCAGAATCATGGTTTTAAAAATTAGAATCACTGACATTTTTATCAAGGAGGTTTATATAATATTTGGTCTTTTGCATACACCTTACAAATAATAATCCATGAAAATACTTACTTAAACATGTATTTTCAGCTCTTTGAAGGCTCTGGATTGCTGTGTTAAATTTCACTATAATTTCAGATTGCAACGCTGTCAATCACGTGAGGGAGCCAATCTTGAATACCTGAAGAATGTTGTGCTGAGTTTCCTGCTGTCAACTGACTCCAGTTCCAAAAGACACATGCTAAATGCAATTGCTGCTGTCCTCAAATTCAGTTCTTCTGAGATGGAACAAGTCAGCTGCACTCATAAACCACCTGTATAAGGAAATATTAAATAAGGAAAATCAAAGCTGTGTGGCTGTTATACAGGTCCATTTACAAATGTTAGGTACAAGGTTCCAGTATTCTTTAATGCAGAAATGAAGACTATAATTTTTGGACAAACACTACAGACAGGAGACAGTATGAAATGATACAAGATGTTTGGTACACCAATGTGAAGTATTATAATAAGACTTCGAGATGATTCTTTGCATAGGTCATAAGCATATTCAGCTGATATATATTGAGCCCACATGATCATCTTCAAGTTTTGCATAGTAATTATGTACAGAAAATCAACATAGAGTATTTCATGTTGGAGAGAATATATTTTTATATAAATAAATATGTGACATGAAATCTATATTTAAAATAAAAAGGCATGTGTATATTTATGAATGGTGGATTTTCTTTAAAACAGGTACCCAGAAATTTGAGGTTCTCCCAGTGGCAACTCAAAAGAGTACCATCTTCTGGGATATGTCATGTGGTTAGTCTGGTAGTTTACTAACATTTCAAAGAAATGTACTCCATCTTCAGGGTCAGAGAGGAAGCTGAGCAGGGAAGCAGAGTAGGCTGAATGTGGTTAAAACACGGTATGGATATAGGCAAGATGTAAGACCTCCAAGCAAATTGGACCAAGGAGAAGAATGGATGAAGCCCATAAATGGACTGTTTTTCATCCAAACAGAGCAGAAGTAACAAATGGAAGGTGTAGGTAGGCCAAAAGAGTAACAAGGACAGCAGACAGAGTATGCAGAGTAAAAAAAATAAGCAGGAGAGGAGGTATAGCCCCAGCATGGGCAAGAGGACAAGACATTATCCAAGGCTGAAGGGGGATGGAAAGGGAGCAGAAGGGAAGGACAGCAAGGGGGGGGGAAAGAAGGCAAACAAGGCTTTACCTTGGGATGAATGCAAGATTCCCCCCCCTTTCCCTCACAGAAGTGACCAGTAATTATTGAAAGACCTAATGCCATTTATGTTCCTTCAAATAATTCTATCTCTACAGTAGGGTTGCAAGATTTTGTAAAATAAAAAAAGGAGTGATGTCTCGTTGCTTGTTTATAACAATATTTTTCACAACTAATAGGCTTTTCTAAGCTCTGCAGCACCAAACCAGACATTTCCTCAGCACTTTCAACAAAATCTAGAAGTTTAGTCTGCACTCCCTTTAAAGGGCTGAAGTACCGGATGCAAACAGGGAACATTTTTCGATTGCTTCTGTTTGATGCATTGGTAGCCAATGAAAAAATTTTGAAGTATTTTCTGGACATCTTAAAATAGACACAAAGTCATTTACACTTTTAGGAGCAAGAACGTACTTCACTATCATTTCCGCTTTAGTGCGTCCACATGAAAGTTTGGAAGCAAACGTGGAATCACTGAAAATATGGGACACAAGTTTATTTCCGCAGTCCAGACTGGAATAACTTGTGTTTCACTGCATGATACACTAAACCAAGTTCGCACGCAGCACTGTTGTCATATTATTCTTTATTGTTTAAATTAACAAAGTATTTTGAAAGTTTATTTGAACTCCCAGAATTACATTTTTCCTTAATTTTATGTCCCTTGTATCAGACGAAGAGAGACACAAGGGACATAAAATTAAGGAAAAATGTAATTCTGGGAGTTCACNGTAGCGTAGCTACTGGCAGGGCCTCCCTTGCTGGACAGGTCAAAGGGTAGGCATCAGACGAAGAGAGACACCAAAAACCAAAAACTGATGCCGGAAGCAGCGTCATCAGCAGCGACTTGAAGCACAGAACAAATGATGCTCGAGATGGTTCAAGTTCGTATAGCAACAGGCGTGACCAGAGTGGTTTGAACGGCTGTTGTACTGCGATGTGGAAAGCAAATGGAAAAACTACCACATTATCACTTTTCCTGGATAGTCTCTTTCCAAAAACAGAAGATCACATTAAGTGGAGGAACTGTTTTGGAAGAGACTGTGGACCTGTCGTCTGACAGATTACTGATCAATCAATCAATTTATGTCCCTTGTATTGTGCATGTTGCCTCAGGTCACTTTGTTCACCATGCAAAATACTAAAATCCTTCCTACACAACGTACAAAATTCCCGGTTCTCGTCTGGTCCCAGCTTAACCCATGAAAACATATCTTCCCATTTCTTAAGATATATTTGATTATGTTTGGCCTGGGATTTCAAGTTCTTCTGTGGAGGAGTATTTGATGGATCTTCTTCGCCCTCAAACATTTTTGCTAACTTGACACTGACTTTCTAGCGAAGACTGAACGGATTAAAAATACACGATCACCAACAACCTTTGCTTTGGTTTAGAACCTCAAGTGTTGCCAACATTCACGAAATGCAACATAACGAAAGAAACTATAACAATGTCATTTTCCAAGGATTACAGTAATTTTATGATTTAACCCATGAAATATAATTCGCAATGGACTTAAATAAAAAAACAGAGAATTATCCACTCCGGGTAAACAATAAATGGAGGAACAAAATTTGGGTGAAAACACGGAAGAATCCGGGGAAAATGGGGTATCTGGGAACCCTACTATACAGATAAAATTTTTTCATATTCTTGTCTCGTCTCATTTACATTGTGCAAAAAAGCTTTCAGTTTAATAGATACTGAAAATAGTACCCTTGGCTATAAACATTACATATTCAAGCATTCCTTTCAGTTATTGGTGACATGTTCCAGCAGTGATTCACTGATATGAATTCCTCTGAATTAATTTCTGCATTCATTTCTGTCTTTTTAGCTCCAGGACATGTGCAAAATTTTTCATATATTTTCAAAATAGTGTCAGAAGTGGAAAATTGGCACCATCACATTTTTGTGACAATGGAAATACATATAAAATACTGCATTTTTTTATAACCTGTATTATTTTGAATGCATGTGAAAATAATATAAATATAATAAATATAAACACACCTTCATATGTCTAAATTGAATAGACTAATAAGAATCAGTCAGCATGTACTCCTATAAACTCTGAATATGCCAAATTTATAAAGTTCAAGAACCACTGCTTCTGGCTTATGAAATGGAAGAAAACAGATCAGTGCTAATGCTACTGTGTAAGCATGAAATAAAATATGCTGCCTGATGGCAAAAACAGGAAGAGTTGCTCAATAATATGCATCCCTGTACTTTTATTTCTACATTTACTTTAACACAGTGCGTTCAATCATCGAGGAAACCGGGGGAGCGGCGTGGGTCGGATACATTTCTCACGATTGCTGCTGTAACTGCTGATAGCAGAATGAGTTATCAGCACTGATAAATGTGCGCACTCTCACTAGCGCAGAGCAGACGGATCATTTCTCCACGACTATTGTGCTCTTCCCCACTAGCGAGAGTGCAGTCATGTCACTGATTCCCTCACATCAGTTTCTGCACACATTTATAGGAATACTGTAAGAAGATAACAAACTTACTGTGCTTTATAACAGGTGCTGGAAGTGACCCCCTTCTGCTTGCAAACTTGCCTCGCATCACATAAATAAATTATGCGACACTTTCTGAAGTTGGTCCATGGCAATTGAACTAATTACGCATGTTATTTCATTCTGCAGAGCTTCAGTGGTGCGAGGATTACTCTTGTAGACTTTTCCCCTTAGGTTTCCCAAAATATAAAAATCGCAAAAACTGAGATCTGGGAAGTCACAGTCCCCTGCTTATTACCTTGTCTTCAAACACCTCCCATACTGGGACCATGGATGCATTAGTCATATGTGCCATAGCGTTGTCTTGCTGAAGATACCCATACTGTCTTTCTTCAGCAGTCAGCTGATTGATGAATGGGCTCAGTATATCATTAACGTAGCAGTCAAGAGTTCATGGCTTCGTGGAAAAATAGGGGGCCAATGATTTGGCGCAGATTTACAACACACCACATCCCCACCTTTTAACGATGTAATGACACTTACTGTACAGTGTGAGCATTTTACACGCGTAATTAGTTCAATGGCCATGGACAAACTTCAGAAAGTGTCACATAATTTATTTATGTGATGCGAGGCATGTTTGCAAGCAGAAGGGGGTCACTTCCAACACCTGTTGTAAAGCAGGGTAAGTTTCTTATCTTCTTACAGTATTCCTATCAATGTGTGCATGTACAGAAACTGATGCAAGGGAATCAGCGACATGATTGCACTCTTGCTAGCGGGGAAGGGCATAGTAGTCGTGGAGAAACGATCCATCCACTCTACGCTAGCGAGTGTGCACGTTTATCAGCGCTGATGACTCATTCCACTATCAGCAGTTACAGCAGCAATCTCTGAGAAATGTATCCGACTCATGATGCTCCCCCGGTTTCCTTGATGATTGAACACCCTGTATTTACCATATGTAAGCGTATTTCCTAGCCCGTAATTTAAAATTACAAGAACACTTATTGGAAGAACAAAACATGTTGAATCTGACGGGTGCAGTTCATGCAAATATTCCTGTATCCGAAATAACCAAACCCTCACTTTTAAGGTTCTTCCAGCTAAGCAGTATTATCAATGTAGTGTTTGTATATTCCTTGGACCAACTCTCAAAGTGCATGAACCGCATAAGTTTATCACCATATTCTTAGTTCATATTGGCAAATTTAAGAAAACAACCCTGGCTCACTTTTTAAGAGTCTGCAAAACCACTGACTGGAAATCGTTCAAGATGGTCCTTCAGGACAGACGGGAAAAGTGAAAATAATTTAAACCGTTCTCCCATTTTGTCTTCATCCACCATCATATGATAGCCCAACAGAAGATTTTCTTTCTGTTTCTCACCACAGTTTTGTAGTAAAATCTGAAATAAGTACATCAACAAATGAACATTAACAACACTCATATTCTATACCATGTGCTAAATCTGACATTTTTCACTTAATATAAAAACAAGAATGTTATTACAAAGTTGGCTGATAAAGATTACAAGATTGTGTGTACATCATGAATTCTGTGAAGCATCTATGAGACAATGCACTATAATGTATACACTTGCCTACACAGTGCTTAGGAGACAAAAGCAAAGAAGGAACCATAATTTGAAACTGAGTTAAGAAATAGGTTACAGAGGTGTGAATGGATTTAACTGGTTCAGGACCATCTCAAATGGCAGCCTTTTGTGAATATCATTATGAACCTTTGGGTTCAATAAAGACTGAGACTGTTTTGGCCAGCTGAATAATGAGCGACTCGTAACACAAGATCATGTTCCATGAAGTTGGTTACAAGGTGTTCCTTGGTATGTACCACTTACCTGAAGGCGCATGTCAATCCCCATTTGTTTTAGAAAGTGTCTCTGTGTCACAGGACCAAATGTTAAGAGTTTATCCTCTGTACATGCTCGGATATATGAAAAATCTACATCAGCTGTAAGATCTGCAGATCCTGGGTCCACCAAGGCATCATGTAGTTCATGATTACGAAATCCCTGATAAGAAATGCGATAGGATTAATATGATCATTTTTTTCTATTGCTAGTTGGGTGGGACTAAGTCCCTTGCACTGTGGCCACTTCTGGCCTACTGTACCAGCCCCAGATGATAGGTGAGGGTGATTGTGGAGTAATTGCTTGAATGAATATTGGCAGGGGAAACCAAAGTGCTCGAAGAAAACCTACCCCAGCGCCACTTTGTCCACCACAAATCCCACTTGACCAGACCCGGGATCGAACACGGGCCACCGTGGTGGGAAGCCAAAGACTAACCGCTTGAGCTATGGCGCGGCCCAATATGATCACGATATCATATTAATCCTTAATACATAAGCTATCATCAACAGTATCTTATGCATTTAACCCTTCAGCATGGGCATTTAAATATCGCTGTTGTGGGGCCTCCTGCTGTAGTATTTTCAATTGCCCATTTAAATTTTGCTCTAAATTATATTATGTATCATAACTTTTGAACTATATGAGGTATAATTATGAATTTTTCAGTGAAATCATCTTAAAAGATGGTTTTATAATCTTACCTTATAAACTGAGCGCCCTGTATCTGAGCGATGGAAGCAAGTGGATTAAAAGTTGAGTTTCGTATGTTATTTCTTGAAACATCCATCTAAACACAACCCTGCCTCACATTCACTACACCAAAAATAAATTCTTTCCTTTTACCATGTTTTGCACACACCATACATCTTTTTTGAGGCTTTGCTTTTTTCCTTTGGCTGGAATATGCTCCAGGAAATGTCGTTCTGTGAGTCTTTTAGGCGGCAGCTCAACTGACGGACGGCCGTATACAGGATGAGGAAAACCAAAACCGTGATTTTCCACAAGGCCTTGTGCTAGTGAAAGTCTGAACTTTAGCGTGCCCATGTTTTTGTTATTCGGGAGACACCGATATATGACCATTGTGTTATGTATTGCTACATTGAGTAGCCTCTTGAATAACTTCTGATACCACTTAGTACTCTTCTTTCATTCAAGGAAGTACGGCTGTAGCATTTGATCCGTCAGATCCACTCCTAGCATGTTTCTGTTGTAATCACAACCATCCAAGGGCTTTGTTTCTTCTTTGTTTGCTTTATTCACAACCACACGCATATCATCTTTGTGGTATGTTGTTATCATAGTCACTCGGCCGCCATCGTAACTGTGAGGTCAGCGTTCTATTTAGACTGACTGGCAGAGCTGCAGGAATTGAATGTTATGTTTACACGAACAGAGACCGCATTCTTTTAACAACAGCCCAGTGCAATCGTCATCATGTTGGTGTGGTTCGTTCCATATTTATGGGCCTTCAAAATTAAGCTTACAGCTTGACGTATGGTGTACGGCAAACCGCAGGTAGGACCATTTAAATACCAGCGTACCGTGTACAGCAAACCACGCTGAAGGGTTAAAGCATTAACCTCTATACTTCTTCAAGGGTATTTGGAAACCAAATTCTTTGACAAATCTGATGTCTGACAAATGTTACTTTTAATTTCTAAAGTCTCTGCTTATTTTCATGAGCAGCATTCAAATAGAGTGTTTGATTTGAATACATTCATATTTGTATCATCTGCCACCAATAGATGGCAAAAACACATTAAAGTATTTTTTTTTCTACTAAATCCTTCAAAATGTTTAACTGGGAAGGGGATGTGTCAATAGTGGAAATTTCCTATTTTCTCATACGAAGCCAAGTTATGTGACAAGTATGGCTCATGGAGGACAGAAGTTTTCTAAGAAATGTCTGTTCACTTAGACTGTGGTAATACTGTTCGACACAATAGAATATATCCATTTCAGCATCCTGTTAAAACTATAATTTAAAACAATGAGACAATTTTACATGGACTTAGACTGTGAAAATGTTACCATATGTAATATATTTACATCCCTCTTTCGTATCTTTAATAGACCAATATTTGTAACTGTGAAATGTGAAGTTGACAAAAATTATCTTCCTGGATGATAGGTTTAAGTTTAAATTTCCTAATTAGAAAACAAAATTATTAAATGAATCCAAAATTGTATAGAAAAATGCAAAGCTTACTCGGAAAGTATCAGTCTTGCTTCCATCATGTCCATAATCAGCAAATAATGCAAAACCTCCATCTTCTTCCAACCTTGTAGCAAGATGCTCCAGTATGACTCCACTCTCAGCACACACCTCCACATGGTCTCTTTTCTCATCAGCCTGATAATGAGACAATTTTCACATGACCTTTCACAAGGGTTAAAAGAAAAGTAAAGTTATCCCTGTAACAGGCCGTGGAGGCCCACAGGGTTGTGAGATGTTGAGGCTCCCACATTTTTTCTAGACAATCTGCTCAAAGATGGTGGTGAGACTGTCGGTCTTATATGCCGACCACCCTTTAACCCCAGGAAGATTCCTGGTACTCTTTCTGTTAGAGGCTGAGTTGACCCCAGGGCCATAGTGTGGATGGAAGGATGAGGTCAACTGAAAAATCCAATGACCTCACTGGGAATAGAACCTGCAACCTTCTGCCTTGTAGCATAGTGCCTCAACCAACTACGCTATTGCATGGCACTTTATGCTCTCTAAATATTGTTAAGTTCCTTTCATACAGTGATCTCCCATTTTGTGTTTCCATGTAGTCACCAGAAAGTTGGCACAGTACTTGTCTATGGCTCTTTTGTTTCTTGGCAGCTATTTCATTCACATGCAATCTCAGTAGTTTCAGTGCTCATCATATCAAACATTATGGCTGAGTGGTTAGTACTCTTGCTTCATACTATGAAGGTTTAGGGTTCATATCTGAGCCCAGAGCCTAGCTATTCTGACTTGAGGTTTCTTTAGGTTTTCCCAAGTCCCTCCTGGCAAATGCCAAAACAGTACCTTAAACTGGATCATGACTGCTTCCTTTCATATCCTCTCCAAATCATTATTCATTAATCATGCCATACTCTTTCACTGTTATATGTAGGCTCAGCAAGGGTTGTTCAATAAACAAAAACAAGCAAGACTGTAATAATAAATAAGCAAAATGATTGTTTCAACGTGCATACAGGTACTTTTGGTAATTTCTGTGGCCAGTGGGAATATATATTCATAATACTGCCATAAAAAATAAACAGTTTCATTATTTCAGCACAGTCAATTCACAAATATCTGGCCAAACAGGTACTTTTGCTAGTTATGAACACATACACAACAGAAACCTTCATCAGTCATACAAAATCTTACAATGAAATGCTACATAAATGTAGATTATTACTAGTTTTAATATTCTGATACTACTGTTTGATAATTATACACGTTACATACCTTAATAAGGGTTTTAGATGCTGGAGTAGAGGTTCGTGATAAAACATATCTGAATTTTTCACTGCCAGCTGCTGGATCAATATCTATTAGAACTTCTCTCCAGCCAGCCTCTGTTCTCTGAGAATATTAAAAGTTGTTCCCAGTAAATAAAATATCCATCTGAGTGTTCTACTCAACTGATAAGAATTTAAAATTAAGAGTCTTCTATTAATTTAGGCTGTGACAGTGTTGCCAGTTATCATATTTATTGGTATATTTCTTATTGGCAGTTAAATATGGCAATATTTAAATTGTGTGAAACCTCATGAAGCACTGAGTGAAAAGAAATTAGCGAAAAAAAAATTATTCCTGAATTCCTATTCCAAAGAAAACTGAGAGATTTCAGAACTTTCTTGAATTACCAAGCATAAATTTGAACAGGATCTTATGAAGGCACTTTAATTATTAAGACTTTTGAACTTATATTTATTTATATTACTCATAGATATGGAAGTTAATTATGGAAATACATGAACTGCTTTCATGCATTTGAATAACCTAGTAATTATGAACTGTAATACACATGGTTTATTAAGCAAGAGTTGAGCAAAGAGTTTTTTGGCTGAGAAAGTACAAATTTTACTGAAGGAACTCTCATTGTTCAATCCAAAACATGTGGTTTCATTTATAAGTCCCACTGGGTTCCAAGGTCATTAACAGAGAAGCGTAAGTTCATGTTATGTACAAGACTCTGTGGCTGTAGAATGTTCTGCAATTACATGCCACCAGACATTCTGTCACCTTGCAAAGACATTTCATGAAATAACTGCAGAACCTTCTTTGTCAACTAATAACATCAGTAAAATATAACAAAACATCAGATCCTGTTCATGGGGGGCAAAGATACACTCTGCAATGTCGGTCATTTTTAACCGATACAACTGACAGACCAAAAATATTTTAATAACAGAATATTACATATTTTCATCCCTCATGAAGTACAATCGGATAACACTGAACATTTCTCTTCTCAAAACATAAAGCATTTCTTGATCAAGTGAATATTTCATGTAATAGCTTCATATATGCATTTCAAATTTCAAGATGGTGATCATTTTGACTAATCAATGCTGTTCAAAAGCAACATATTAAATTAATATTACAGTGATAATACAAACTATCTAAATCTGAATATTCACACTGAATGCTGAAATACATATGCAGATTGATTAGGTCTCTGGCAGAGATATTAGGTAGCTGGTGCACTATTCTCTTTGTTAATTTTACCAGATCAAATTCATATGAACAAATAGACAGTGACAACAGGTACTTTTTAGTTGACCCAAACTCACCATATCCATTTAAGAACAAAATAAAAATGTTCACACATCTCCAGTTAATATGCAGAATAGCATACAAAACACTACATAAAATCTCTTACCTGAAATTTATGGATAGGCAGTGCATCAAAGAACTCATGTGCAAGATAACAGGAAAACTGTCTAGGAACATCCTGGATACTGTTGTACCAGAAGACAGGGATATTTGTGGCAGTGGTGCCCAGTTGGTAATATGTATGTGATGATTTTGATGGTCTTACTGTCTTTACACATAGTTTCTGGGCTTGTATTTGACTAAGACGAGGGCTCACCTCCACCAAATGCAGACTTACTTCATTCCCAGCCCCAAACCGTTCAAATACCTACAACGATAAGTCTTGAGGTAGAAATATATACTGAGATTTAGTTTCTGTAACAATGTAATCCCTGTTCACAAATATACCATTTCCACTGTTTCATTCATGTGTGAACAATCCTCAATTACAGTACAGTATATTAGTAGCTATATTCCTGTCTACATGTTCTCAGTTTCTGCAGCTTATTTTCATACATATATTTTGTTACTGTTACACACATCTACTATTCAAGTGCTGTGCCCTGTATATGCATGATGTGTTTCTTGGAAAATACCTAGAAAAGAACTGGAAGCTGCTAAATTACAACAGGAAAGGTAAACTCCACCTAACTCCATGGAATCATGTCCTTCTCGAAAAACTAACAGTTGGTCAGCCACTCAAAAAATTCCCAGCATTTTATGGAACCTTAATGTTCATTATTATATTCTTAATGGACCATTAATGGTCCTTATCCTGAGATGAGTCCTGCTCACACCTGCCAATCCTGTTTCTTTAACCCTTTGACGTGGTCATTTAAATTCCGCGGCCGCGGCTCCTGCGGTAATATATTCAGCCGGCCATTTAAATTTTGCTCGAAAATTATTTATTCATCATTGTTCTTAAATTCTATGAGATAGGAACATGAAACTTTCACTAAAATGATCTTAAATGGTGGTTTTATAACCTTACCTT